TGCTCCTGGCTCTACCAGCCGCTCGGCGCCGCCGCCAGCCCCACCCTGCTCCTGTACATCCACAAGCCGCCCCGCGACGGGTTCAGGATCGCCGACGGGGTGGACGCCAAGCGGATCTCGGGCAAGAGGCTGCAGAGCAACGTGTACAGCCTCACCCTGAGCCAGTTCCGCGTGGAGGACCAAGGCTACTACTTCTGCTCCGTCACCGGCAACTCCGTGCTGTTCTTCAGCCCCCTGGTGCCGGTGTCGCTGCCAGGTTCGGCCGGGCCCTTCTCTCGGCGCCTGGGCTCGCCTCTGAGCCGCTTCTCCACTCTAATACTTCGCCTTCTAGCCTCTTAGCGTCCCAGGGGGTACAGGGTAGTGTTCCCTTTTCCCAGAAAATTGAGAAGGTGCTGCTGTGTAGACTGGACACGATTTATTTTTTCTTGGAGAGGTTTTTGCTATAGGGCGCATGCGCTCGCCAGACAGAGACAGAGAGACAGAAAGCGAGAAATCACCGCCCAGGGGGGATGGCCACGACACAATCCCTTCTCCTCCATTCTCCTCTCGGGATCTCGAAGACACACGCACACGTGCCCAGCGTGAGTTTAAGTCACCTGGTCCGGGACTCAAACCGCGGTCGACTACGTGAGAGTCCAGCGACATAACCATTACGCCAACTGCTGGTCCCTGTAAACAAATTTTTTAATGTCAGGTCGATCTGAACTCGAGTTCGGGTGCTTGTGGGTCCTGGGCAAGTTCCTTAAATTCCCTGCGCCTCGACCTGCTGGTCGGTAAAATGCGGGCGTCATCTCAAGCCCATGGGGTTGCGGGTTGAGCCCCGGGTAGAGGCCTGGTGCAGGCAGCGGGGAGGGGTCAACCATGTCCCGGGGTCCCGCTCCTTCTCCGTCGGTGCCGAGCCCGGCGGCCCATCTCCCCTCCACTGAAAACCCGCAGGGCTTGTCCTTGGGTAAGGGCGCGCGGGACCGGGACGCGTTCCCAGCACTGACCTGGCCCCAACCGCGCTCTGTTGTCCCCGCAGCGAAGCCCAACACGACGCCTGCGCCACGGCCACCCACGTCGCCGCTCACCACCGCGTCCCTGCCGCAGTCCACGCGCCCGGAAGCGTGCCGGCCTGGGGCAGGCAGCGCAGGTGAGGGGAGTAGGGGGGACCCCAGATTCTGGCAGGCCGGGGGTAGGGGGCACAGACCGCGCACGGGCCCTGCCGGGGCAGCCCTGATACCCAAGGGAGAGTCCAGGGCTGTCCACGTGGTGGAGAAACGAGACCCGAGAGGGCAGCCGTGCAGTGGATGGCGGGGACGGTGGGGCTGGCCCTGGCTGCGCTCCTAAATGCTGTCGTCCTCGGTGTGGTCAGGCGGCGCGAAGGCGCTGGACTTCGCCTGTGATATCTACATCTGGGCGCCCTTGGCCGGCACCTGCGCGATCCTTCTGCTGTCGCTGGTCATCACCCTCATCTGCAACCACAGTGAGTCCTGGAGGGTCACGGGGGAGGGCTCTGCCCACGGCGGCCCCCTGCTCGCTCCAGGAAGCCCTTGGGGGAGCTGGGGTCCAAGCGCAGCCCATTCCTTTCCTGGAAATACAACATGACACGGGAAAGGTCCCTGCTCCACCCTTTTCCTCTCTGCGGGAGGTTCTGGAAGGCGGAGCCCCTACCTGAGCTTCCAGTTCCCACAGCCTCAGCCAAGGGCCTACACCCAGCCTATCCCAAACGCGCGCCACAAGGGAGGGGGTGGTTGTGACCCTGGGACCCGTGCCCAGGAGGGCTCAGTCCAAACCACGACAGCTTGAGGTTGCCCCTAGGCCCTTCCTAGTGGTCCCTGCACCCCACGTTGGACCCCCTGCAGGTGCTTGTGCCAGGCTGTCTTCCCAGCCAGTCTCAGGTTCCCTGTTCATCCTCATCTGGATGAGGGAGGTTAAAATGGATGTCTGAGAAGCAGAGGGTGGAAAAGAAGTCTCCACCTGGGCTCTCAAGAGTTATCATTCTCAAGGAAATAGGAAAAATGGAGGAGACACTGTATTTAGGGACTATTGGTGTGGGTGACACTTTTTTTCCCCTTATTCAGGGAACCGGAGGCGTGTCTGCAAATGCCCTAGGTGAGTCTCTTACCCCCTAGCCTGTGCCCCGGCAGCCCCACTTCTCTCCTTTGGGATATCCGGCATATCTGCACATATCTGCACATACGCCTGGCCTGTTTCTCTAGCCTCCAGGTCGGGTACTCAAACCCACGGTCAGCCCTGTGGGATCTGCTCACTTGGCCAGGCCGTAGGCTGGCCCCACCCTGGATCTCTTGGTCCTCACAGAACCCCTGTCCCAACTCACAGATCGTCAGTTCAGTGACTAGGCCCGAGATCCTGGCTCCTCCAGCAGCAGATGGTGGGGACCCTTTCCTGGAGAAAGGCCAAGGCAGTCCTGGGGGAGAGTCAGAGAGGCCCAGACCTGAGAGGCAGAAGGCAGGAGGAAGGCCGGCAGCAGCGTAACCTGTGCTCTTGAGAAAATGGGGGTCCAGGGCTGCCGGAGAGAGCAGTGTGACTTCAATAGACCAACAAAACAAAAAAACACCCATTTTTATCCTAGCTCCTCAAAGAGCCTGAGGTTCCTTTTATGATTCCATCTGAGTTTTGTGGTTTTCTTAAGACACCCCTCCCCTTCTTGGTAGGTATGGTTTTCTGAGGGAGAACCAATATTTTATGCCGTGAACAAAATAAACAATGGCCTCGATTCCTAATTTTCCAGCCTTGATTTGCTGCCAAGGATTGGAGTGGAGGGAACGGAGACCAAAGGCAGGGGCCAGGAGCTCTCTGCCCACCGGCACCTGCGCGATCCTTCTGCTGTCGCTGGTCATCACCCTCATCTGCAACCACAGTGAGTCCTGGAGGGTCACGGGGGAGGGCTCTGCCCACGGCGGCCCCCTGCTCGCTCCAGGAAGCCCTTGGGGGAGCTGGGGTCCAAGCGCAGCCCATTCCTTTCCTGGAAATACAACATGACACGGGAAAGGTCCCTGCTCCACCCTTTTCCTCTCTGCGGGAGGTTCTGGAAGGCGGAGCCCCTACCTGAGCTTCCAGTTCCCACAGCCTCAGCCAAGGGCCTACACCCAGCCTATCCCAAACGCGCGCCACAAGGGAGGGGGTGGTTGTGACCCTGGGACCCGTGCCCAGGAGGGCTCAGTCCAAACCACGACAGCTTGAGGTTGCCCCTAGGCCCTTCCTAGTGGTCCCTGCACCCCACGTTGGACCCCCTGCAGGTGCTTGTGCCAGGCTGTCTTCCCAGCCAGTCTCAGGTTCCCTGTTCATCCTCATCTGGATGAGGGAGGTTAAAATGGATGTCTGAGAAGCAGAGGGTGGAAAAGAAGTCTCCACCTGGGCTCTCAAGAGTTATCATTCTCAAGGAAATAGGAAAAATGGAGGAGACACTGTATTTAGGGACTATTGGTGTGGGTGACACTTTTTTTCCCCTTATTCAGGGAACCGGAGGCGTGTCTGCAAATGCCCTAGGTGAGTCTCTTACCCCCTAGCCTGTGCCCCGGCAGCCCCACTTCTCTCCTTTGGGATATCCGGCATATCTGCACATATCTGCACATACGCCTGGCCTGTTTCTCTAGCCTCCAGGTCGGGTACTCAAACCCACGGTCAGCCCTGTGGGATCTGCTCACTTGGCCAGGCCGTAGGCTGGCCCCACCCTGGATCTCTTGGTCCTCACAGAACCCCTGTCCCAACTCACAGATCGTCAGTTCAGTGACTAGGCCCGAGATCCTGGCTCCTCCAGCAGCAGATGGTGGGGACCCTTTCCTGGAGAAAGGCCAAGGCAGTCCTGGGGGAGAGTCAGAGAGGCCCAGACCTGAGAGGCAGAAGGCAGGAGGAAGGCCGGCAGCAGCGTAACCTGTGCTCTTGAGAAAATGGGGGTCCAGGGCTGCCGGAGAGAGCAGTGTGACTTCAATAGACCAACAAAACAAAAAAACACCCATTTTTATCCTAGCTCCTCAAAGAGCCTGAGGTTCCTTTTATGATTCCATCTGAGTTTTGTGGTTTTCTTAAGACACCCCTCCCCTTCTTGGTAGGTATGGTTTTCTGAGGGAGAACCAATATTTTATGCCGTGAACAAAATAAACAATGGCCTCGATTCCTAATTTTCCAGCCTTGATTTGCTGCCAAGGATTGGAGTGGAGGGAACGGAGACCAAAGGCAGGGGCCAGGAGCTCTCTGCCCACCCAAGGCCAGCCCTAGTGATTCTGGAATGATCAGGGAGACAAAGATCAGTCTGTGGGAGAGGCCTCAGGTTCCTCTCTCCTTCACCTCAGGCGGAGGCAGCCCTGCGGGAACTCCTCCGCAGGACCTCCTCTAGCTGGGACCGGGTTCGCACTCTTACACATCTTCTTTTTTAAATTGCCAGAGGGCATGTGTATGAGAGAGAGAGAGAGAGAGAAAGGGAGAAAGCACCTCCCACCTCATGGTCATGCAGCAGTCCCTTCTCCCCCGTTTCTTTTTGGGATTTTGGGCATGCACACACGTTTCCCAAGCTGCCAGGTCTGGGGCTTGTGCCCGCGGTAGGCCACATGGAATCCAGTTCACTTAACCACCAAGTCATGGGCTGGCCCCACTCAGGTTCTCTCTTACTCTCCATGTTGACCTCCTATGATAGACACTATGGTCCCAACTCATGGATCATCAGCTCAGGGATTAGGAAACCTACCAGAGAGGGCAGAGGCGAAGTTACACTTAGGTTATCAAAAATAACAGCCCTATGATGAAACCCTACAGCGTATCAGCTACTCGCTTTATTTTATTTGTGTAGGCATATATATAATTTCAAGTTTCATAACAATCTTTAAAGAAGTTACTATTGGGTTGTTGGAAAAGTCATGGTGGATTTTCTGTTTTCCTACACAAAAATGTGTCACAACTTTTCTGATGACCCAGTATGACCTACATTTTTAAAATGAGGCAACTGGGACTGGCAGATGACATAGCGGTTACATCACTGGACTCCCACATGGTTGACTGTGGTTCAAATCCTGGGCCAGTTAGCTTGTAAACTCGTGTTGGGTACATGTGCATGCATGCCTAAGATGCCCAGAAGAAAATGGAGAAGGGATTGCAGTGTGGCCATCCCCCTGGGGGATGATTTCTCACTTTCCCTCTCACTGTCTCTTCCTCCAGTGAGCGCACACACCCTAAGGCAAAAACATCTCAAAAAAAGAGAGTAAACAGATTTTGGATGTTTAGTGATTTGTCCATGCCCTACTGCCAGAAGTACCAGAACTCAATTTTCATTAAAAGTTCCCGTTCCTCTCTGCAGTTGAGGGCAGGGCGGGGCTGTTAAAGATAACCAACTTTATACACCAAATTCCTCCTAGTAGTTGAGAATATTTCAAATTTTATACCTGGCGTTTGCATTTTATATGCCTTGGCAATTCCCTTCAAGAATCCAAGTTCAGCATCTTTCACATCATTTTTTTAAAAAGACTTTATCATTATTATTATTTTAATGTGCACTCACCAGAGAGAGAGAGAGAGAGAAGGAAAGTGAGAAAGCAAGCTGACCTGTTCAGGACTTGAATAGGTTAACCATGTGGGAATCTAGCACCTTAACCATCAAACCGCAGTACACTATGTGGCAGTCCAGCGACATAACCATTACACCATCTTCTGGTCCCAAACATAGTTATTTTTTAACAATAGAAACGTCATTAAATTCCTAGTGCGTCTGTTATATGGTGATAGACCAAGGGGATAAGGTTTCTGTACAAACAGGGGAGGGTATTTAGCATTTCCATTACTTGGGGTACAGTTGGAAGCTTTTGCCATATTTTCTGAAAACTCTCATTTTGAGACAAATAGCTGAGAATAAAATCCTGCCCTAAAACACAAAACGATGCAGATTGAAACCATCGAGGAATCCACACACCTGAGTTAAGGTACTCAGTGCTGACCGAGTATCAGTCAGAGATTCTGGAGGACAATGAGTGTGGACACGACAGGATGGATTCGCTTGTTTGGGAGGTGCTAACCCAGCAGTCAGTACGCACTTCCAGCATACATCAAGTTAGGGTTGTCAGAGGCTTAAAGCCCCCCCCCCCCCGGGGGCGGGACGCCGCATGCTCGCTCCAGGAAGCCCTTGGGGGAGCTGGGGTCCAAGCGCAGCCCATTCCTTTCCTGGAAATACAACATGACACGGGAAAGGTCCCTGCTCCACCCTTTTCCTCTCTGCGGGAGGTTCTGGAAGGCGGAGCCCCTACCTGAGCTTCCAGTTCCCACAGCCTCAGCCAAGGGCCTACACCCAGCCTATCCCAAACGCGCGCCACAAGGGAGGGGGTGGTTGTGACCCTGGGACCCGTGCCCAGGAGGGCTCAGTCCAAACCACGACAGCTTGAGGTTGCCCCTAGGCCCTTCCTAGTGGTCCCTGCACCCCACGTTGGACCCCCTGCAGGTGCTTGTGCCAGGCTGTCTTCCCAGCCAGTCTCAGGTTCCCTGTTCATCCTCATCTGGATGAGGGAGGTTAAAATGGATGTCTGAGAAGCAGAGGGTGGAAAAGAAGTCTCCACCTGGGCTCTCAAGAGTTATCATTCTCAAGGAAATAGGAAAAATGGAGGAGACACTGTATTTAGGGACTATTGGTGTGGGTGACACTTTTTTTCCCCTTATTCAGGGAACCGGAGGCGTGTCTGCAAATGCCCTAGGTGAGTCTCTTACCCCCTAGCCTGTGCCCCGGCAGCCCCACTTCTCTCCTTTGGGATATCCGGCATATCTGCACATATCTGCACATACGCCTGGCCTGTTTCTCTAGCCTCCAGGTCGGGTACTCAAACCCACGGTCAGCCCTGTGGGATCTGCTCACTTGGCCAGGCCGTAGGCTGGCCCCACCCTGGATCTCTTGGTCCTCACAGAACCCCTGTCCCAACTCACAGATCGTCAGTTCAGTGACTAGGCCCGAGATCCTGGCTCCTCCAGCAGCAGATGGTGGGGACCCTTTCCTGGAGAAAGGCCAAGGCAGTCCTGGGGGAGAGTCAGAGAGGCCCAGACCTGAGAGGCAGAAGGCAGGAGGAAGGCCGGCAGCAGCGTAACCTGTGCTCTTGAGAAAATGGGGGTCCAGGGCTGCCGGAGAGAGCAGTGTGACTTCAATAGACCAACAAAACAAAAAAACACCCATTTTTATCCTAGCTCCTCAAAGAGCCTGAGGTTCCTTTTATGATTCCATCTGAGTTTTGTGGTTTTCTTAAGACACCCCTCCCCTTCTTGGTAGGTATGGTTTTCTGAGGGAGAACCAATATTTTATGCCGTGAACAAAATAAACAATGGCCTCGATTCCTAATTTTCCAGCCTTGATTTGCTGCCAAGGATTGGAGTGGAGGGAACGGAGACCAAAGGCAGGGGCCAGGAGCTCTCTGCCCACCCAAGGCCAGCCCTAGTGATTCTGGAATGATCAGGGAGACAAAGATCAGTCTGTGGGAGAGGCCTCAGGTTCCTCTCTCCTTCACCTCAGGCGGAGGCAGCCCTGCGGGAACTCCTCCGCAGGACCTCCTCTAGCTGGGACCGGGTTCGCACTCTTACACATCTTCTTTTTTAAATTGCCAGAGGGCATGTGTATGAGAGAGAGAGAGAGAGAGAAAGGGAGAAAGCACCTCCCACCTCATGGTCATGCAGCAGTCCCTTCTCCCCCGTTTCTTTTTGGGATTTTGGGCATGCACACACGTTTCCCAAGCTGCCAGGTCTGGGGCTTGTGCCCGCGGTAGGCCACATGGAATCCAGTTCACTTAACCACCAAGTCATGGGCTGGCCCCACTCAGGTTCTCTCTTACTCTCCATGTTGACCTCCTATGATAGACACTATGGTCCCAACTCATGGATCATCAGCTCAGGGATTAGGAAACCTACCAGAGAGGGCAGAGGCGAAGTTACACTTAGGTTATCAAAAATAACAGCCCTATGATGAAACCCTACAGCGTATCAGCTACTCGCTTTATTTTATTTGTGTAGGCATATATATAATTTCAAGTTTCATAACAATCTTTAAAGAAGTTACTATTGGGTTGTTGGAAAAGTCATGGTGGATTTTCTGTTTTCCTACACAAAAATGTGTCACAACTTTTCTGATGACCCAGTATGACCTACATTTTTAAAATGAGGCAACTGGGACTGGCAGATGACATAGCGGTTACATCACTGGACTCCCACATGGTTGACTGTGGTTCAAATCCTGGGCCAGTTAGCTTGTAAACTCGTGTTGGGTACATGTGCATGCATGCCTAAGATGCCCAGAAGAAAATGGAGAAGGGATTGCAGTGTGGCCATCCCCCTGGGGGATGATTTCTCACTTTCCCTCTCACTGTCTCTTCCTCCAGTGAGCGCACACACCCTAAGGCAAAAACATCTCAAAAAAAGAGAGTAAACAGATTTTGGATGTTTAGTGATTTGTCCATGCCCTACTGCCAGAAGTACCAGAACTCAATTTTCATTAAAAGTTCCCGTTCCTCTCTGCAGTTGAGGGCAGGGCGGGGCTGTTAAAGATAACCAACTTTATACACCAAATTCCTCCTAGTAGTTGAGAATATTTCAAATTTTATACCTGGCGTTTGCATTTTATATGCCTTGGCAATTCCCTTCAAGAATCCAAGTTCAGCATCTTTCACATCATTTTTTTAAAAAGACTTTATCATTATTATTATTTTAATGTGCACTCACCAGAGAGAGAGAGAGAGAGAAGGAAAGTGAGAAAGCAAGCTGACCTGTTCAGGACTTGAATAGGTTAACCATGTGGGAATCTAGCACCTTAACCACCACGCCAATTGCTGGCCCACACATTATTTTAATTTTTTTTTAATTTAAATTTTCACTAAATATAGATATTTTTGCTATGGAGTACATGCACTTGCCTGAGAGACAGAGTCAGAAAGCAAGAAATGATCCCCCCCCGCCCCAGGAGGGATGGCCATGCCACAATCCCTTCTCCTCTATCCTCCTCTTGGGATCTTGGACACGCACGCACACATGCCTGGCATGAGTTTTAAGCCGCTGGGTCTGGAACTCAAACCGCAGTCAACTATGTGGGAGTCCAGCGACATAACCATTACACCATCTTCTGGTCCCAAACATAGTTATTTTTTAACAATAGAAACGTCATTAAATTCCTAGTGCGTCTGTTATATGGTGATAGACCAAGGGGATAAGGTTTCTGTACAAACAGGGGAGGGTATTTAGCATTTCCATTACTTGGGGTACAGTTGGAAGCTTTTGCCATATTTTCTGAAAACTCTCATTTTGAGACAAATAGCTGAGAATAAAATCCTGCCCTAAAACACAAAACGATGCAGATTGAAACCATCGAGGAATCCACACACCTGAGTTAAGGTACTCAGTGCTGACCGAGTATCAGTCAGAGATTCTGGAGGACAATGAGTGTGGACACGACAGGATGGATTCGCTTGTTTGGGAGGTGCTAACCCAGCAGTCAGTACGCACTTCCAGCATACATCAAGTTAGGGTTGTCAGAGGCTTAAAGCCCCCCCCCCCCCGGGTGACGGCATGACTCCCACACTCCCCTCTGTCCCTATGATCCTTGGGCCTGAGAATCAGGTCATTGGACCACTGTGGTCATCACCTCACCCTCTCACCTCCATGGAGACTTTGACAAAGCTCTCCGAGCAGCCAGACTCTGTTCAGACCCTGGCTCTGGAGTGACCCGGGGCAAGCTGTCTAAAGCCTCCCGTGCCCGACACGTCCCCGAGATCCCTGTGAAGATGAAGCCAGATGGTGCCCAGTGCCAAGCTGCTGCCCAGGGACAGGTTCTCAGACCCCTCAAAGGTGGGGGTGACGTGGCTGGGGAGTGTTGAAGGGCTAGATAGGATAGATCTGCACCAGAAGGCTCTTAATCCAATGACCGTCCCTTGCCTTTCCTCCAGGCCCCTGGTCAGAGTCGGAGGCAAGCCCAGCCCTTCAGAGAGATTCGTCTAACTTGGCGACAGACCCTGCGTGGCAGCCACTACATGACTTCAGACTGAGCGCGCTCTCATGTGGACAGCAAGTCCTTCCCTCCCTCCGTTCCCGGCCTGCCTCCCTTCCTTGTGTGTTCTCATTATTGTTGTTCTAGGAGGGGGTGGGGTGGGAAGGGTTACTTTTTCTTCATGTGTTTAACACACAGAGAAACCACATACGGTCTACGATACACCACAAGAGTCATAACAACACTGTGCACACATATTGAGGTAAAAGGCAGAAAGGGGGAGGCTAGGGCTACCCAGAAAGCCGTGTTCTCATGGCTGATGGAGCTGGAAGTGGTCTCCGGACCCATTGGCTCCAACACCCTTCCTCACCGATTTCACAGAGGAGGAAGCGGAAGCCCAGACAGGAGCAGTCCCATCACACCCCAAGTAGAGACTGGAACCAGACAGAGTGGGAGAACCCTTGTCTTCCAGCTCAGGGCTCTTCCCTCATTATTCAGGACTTGTTTTTCTGGGGGGCCTCTGTGTTATAGTGAGGAGCTCAAGCATTTCTTGAGCAACTGTGATACTCTCACTGCTGTTCCCAGAACCCTAAGGAAGTAAAGAAATAAGGACGACGAGAACTTCTGCTTCACAGTGTTCTATACATGTTGTTGCACAATAGCAGACCTTTTAAATAATCAAATGTAAAACTGTGTAGAGAGAAGGCGGGACAGACCCCAGGGAGACTGAGAGCCCAAGCACACACGTCTTCTCTTACAGTTAGTGTACAAGCAATGCGGGCTCAGTGGAAGTGAAAACTTAGGTAAGAAAATAAAAGTCGCCTGTCATGCTTCACCTGGTAAAATCCACTGTTGATGTTACGGTGTACATTCTTCCGGATTTTCTATGCCTATATGGAAAATATAGCCCATGTTTTCTTCAAAAAATAGGATTGTACTATGTGTGTGTAAGTGGTTTTAATAAACATTTATAGTATCTCTAATTTTAAAAAATAATAATTTATTTTTTAAGCTTGCTATCGTCATCAGAGACAACGAGGAAGAAAGCAAACTGCCAGGTCCAGGACTCAAATTGTAGTCAGCCATGTGGGAGCCCAGTACCTTACCCACCACGCCACCTGCTGGCCCAGAATCTCTATTTACGTATGTTTGTTCACTCATACATTTTTTTTCAGATGGGGTCCGGCTTTGATGCCCAGGCCAGCCTAGAGGTTGCGATTTCCCTGCCTCGGCCTCTGCGTCACTGGGATTACAGACACGTGCACTGTGCCCAGCCTTTAGGTTGAACTGGGGATCAAACCCAGGCCTCTCATGTAGCCCCAGCCCATGGGGCACAGTGTCCTAGCAGCACACTTCAAGGCTGGGCCTTTAGCATCGTTTTTACTGGGGATGAGCATTCCAGTTTGGGTCGTGTCATCATTTAATTATTGCCTGGCACGTAACTGTTTACAATTTTTCACTGTTGTAACAAGGTGAACATTTTCGCACACACCTTTCGTTCCTTAGGATATCTAAGAATGAAATCTCTCAAAGAAAATGATCGGGTCAGTCCCCGACTTCACCCTGAATGTCCCATGTTCACATAAGTCAAAATGAATTATGCTCCTCTCACATCATTTTGCTTCCTTTTTTTTTTTTTTCTTTCTTGGTAATAGAGAAGATGATACTTCTGTCATAAAACCACAAATCAGGCCAGTAGGCGGGCGTGGAGGTAAAAGCACTGGATCCCACACAGCTGACTTGACGATTCGAGTCCCGGACCCAGCGGCTTGAAAATCACTCCAGACACATGTGTGCATGCCCAAAATCTTGACAGGAGAATGGAGAAGGGATTGCAGTGTGGCCATCCCCCCGGGGAGATGATTTCTTACTACTTTCCATCTGTCTGTCTCTCTGTCTCTGTGAGCACACATGCCCTGTGGCAAAAATAAACACAAAGTCTCCATCTTGTGGAGGTGACCTACACGCACTGAAAAGAGCCCGAGTCCTAAGTTCAATGGTTTCATAAAGTGAATACATCACGGAAACCAGCACTAAGTCGAAACTAGAACTGCTCCAGCCCCTACAAGCCCGCCTTCCACAAGTTGAACTTTTGAAACCAAGATACTTTCTGAGGGGCCAGACGGGGCATAGCGATTTTTGCTATAGGGAGTGTACACTCATCGGAGACAGAAAAAGGGCAAGAAATCACTCCCCTGGGGGATGGCTACGCTGCAATCCCTTCTCCTCTTGAGATTTTGGGTGTACACACACACACACACACACCCCCCGTGTGTTACACGGCGTTGTTTCCCGGCCTGCCTCCCTTCCTTGTGTGTTCTCATTATTGTTGTTCTAGGAGGGGGTGGGGTGGGAAGGGTTACTTTTTCTTCATGTGTTTAACACACAGAGAAACCACATACGGTCTACGATACACCACAAGAGTCATAACAACACTGTGCACACATATTGAGGTAAAAGGCAGAAAGGGGGAGGCTAGGGCTACCCAGAAAGCCGTGTTCTCATGGCTGATGGAGCTGGAAGTGGTCTCCGGACCCATTGGCTCCAACACCCTTCCTCACCGATTTCACAGAGGAGGAAGCGGAAGCCCAGACAGGAGCAGTCCCATCACACCCCAAGTAGAGACTGGAACCAGACAGAGTGGGAGAACCCTTGTCTTCCAGCTCAGGGCTCTTCCCTCATTATTCAGGACTTGTTTTTCTGGGGGGCCTCTGTGTTATAGTGCGGAGCTCAAGCATTTCTTGAGCAACTGTGATACTCTCACTGCTGTTCCCAGAACCCTAAGGAAGTAAAGAAATAAGGACGACGAGAACTTCTGCTTCACAGTGTTCTATACATGTTGTTGCACAATAGCAGACCTTTTAAATAATCAAATGTAAAACTGTGTAGAGAGAAGGCGGGACAGACCCCAGGGAGACTGAGAGCCCAAGCACACACGTCTTCTCTTACAGTTAGTGTACAAGCAATGCGGGCTCAGTGGAAGTGAAAACTTAGGTAAGAAAATAAAAGTCGCCTGTCATGCTTCACCTGGTAAAATCCACTGTTGATGTTACGGTGTACATTCTTCCGGATTTTCTATGCCTATATGGAAAATATAGCCCATGTTTTCTTCAAAAAATAGGATTGTACTATGTGTGTGTAAGTGGTTTTAATAAACATTTATAGTATCTCTAATTTTAAAAAATAATAATTTATTTTTTAAGCTTGCTATCGTCATCAGAGACAACGAGGAAGAAAGCAAACTGCCAGGTCCAGGACTCAAATTGTAGTCAGCCATGTGGGAGCCCAGTACCTTACCCACCACGCCACCTGCTGGCCCAGAATCTCTATTTACGTATGTTTGTTCACTCATACATTTTTTTTCAGATGGGGTCCGGCTTTGATGCCCAGGCCAGCCTAGAGGTTGCGATTTCCCTGCCTCGGCCTCTGCGTCACTGGGATTACAGACACGTGCACTGTGCCCAGCCTTTAGGTTGAACTGGGGATCAAACCCAGGCCTCTCATGTAGCCCCAGCCCATGGGGCACAGTGTCCTAGCAGCACACTTCAAGGCTGGGCCTTTAGCATCGTTTTTACTGGGGATGAGCATTCCAGTTTGGGTCGTGTCATCATTTAATTATTGCCTGGCACGTAACTGTTTACAATTTTTCACTGTTGTAACAAGGTGAACATTTTCGCACACACCTTTCGTTCCTTAGGATATCTAAGAATGAAATCTCTCAAAGAAAATGATCGGGTCAGTCCCCGACTTCACCCTGAATGTCCCATGTTCACATAAGTCAAAATGAATTATGCTCCTCTCACATCATTTTGCTTCCTTTTTTTTTTTTCTTTCTTGGTAATAGAGAAGATGATACTTCTGTCATAAAACCACAAATCAGGCCAGTAGGCGGGCGTGGAGGTAAAAGCACTGGATCCCACACAGCTGACTTGACGATTCGAGTCCCGGACCCAGCGGCTTGAAAATCACTCCAGACACATGTGTGCATGCCCAAAATCTTGACAGGAGAATGGAGAAGGGATTGCAGTGTGGCCATCCCCCCGGGGAGATGATTTCTTACTACTTTCCATCTGTCTGTCTCTCTGTCTCTGTGAGCACACATGCCCTGTGGCAAAAATAAACACAAAGTCTCCATCTTGTGGAGGTGACCTACACGCACTGAAAAGAGCCCGAGTCCTAAGTTCAATGGTTTCATAAAGTGAATACATCACGGAAACCAGCACTAAGTCGAAACTAGAACTGCTCCAGCCCCTACAAGCCCGCCTTCCACAAGTTGAACTTTTGAAACCAAGATACTTTCTGAGGGGCCAGACGGGGCATAGCGATTTTTGCTATAGGGAGTGTACACTCATCGGAGACAGAAAAAGGGCAAGAAATCACTCCCCTGGGGGATGGCTACGCTGCAATCCCTTCTCCTCTTGAGATTTTGGGTGTACACACACACACACACACACCCGCCATGAGTTTCAAGCCGTTGAATTCAGGATTTGAAACCCAGTTGTCCACGTGGGAGTCCAGAGCCTTAACCACCATGACACCTACTGGTCTAAAATTTATTTAGAGTCTGGCTTCGCCCCTCTTCCTTGAATCCATCCAGCTGTTAACAGCAGAAAGGCACCCAGGGGCAGAGGCCCGGTGAGGAGAGGAGCCAGGCTCTGAGACACCCTTTCCCCTGGTGAAACAGAGCCAAGGTCCTAGGCTGTCTCTTGATTCTCTGGAAAGGAGCAGCAGCAGAATCCTGTAATGGGTTGCTCCCCTCCTCATGGAAGACACTTGCAAAGATGGCCACGGAGCTCCATGTCCCAGAATCTGGGCCAGAACACAGGCAAAGACATTCTCAACACCAGCCGCATCTCCTCTTCAGCCTCCAGCTTGGGTGGTACGCAGAAGGCCCACACTTGGGCAGCTCCGAGTGGGGCACATACTTACTGATTTTTTCACATTCTCAAAAAAGGATTTCACTTACCACAAGTAAAACAGTAAAGAGTAATTTGGAAATTTACAAGATTAATATGAGGGCAACAGTAAAACCTCTGCAAGGTTGCCCCGCATGGGAAGGTTCCAGGTTTGCCCTCAGACTTCCCTGCGTACACGGGGTGTGACAGTGCCCATGACCTAGGGCTGGCTGAAGCTGGGGATGGATCATGGCATCAAGATCCTATTGGGGGGAAACCAGCAGTTAGTGTAATGGCTATGTCGCTGGACTCCTATGTAGTCGACCGTGGTTTGCGTCCTGGACCCAGTGGCTTAAAACTCACGCTGGGCGCATGTGCGTGTGTGCCCAAGATCCCGAGAGGAGAATGGAGAAGGGATTGCGGCGTGACCATCCCCCCTGGGGGGTGATTTCTCGCTTTCTGTCTCTAATGTCTCTGTCTGTCTGGCGAACGCACGCGCCCTATAGTGAAAATCTCTCTCTCAAAAAAAAGATCCTATTGGGGGAGGGGGGCGGACCAGCAGTTGGCATAATGGCTATGTTGCTGGACTCCCATGTAGTCGACCATGGTTTGAGTTCCAGACCCAGTGGCTTAAACTCACACCGGGTGCTTGTGCGTGCGTGCCCAAGATCCCAAGAGAAGAATGGAGGAGAAGGGATTGCAGCGTGACCATCCCCTCCGGGAGGTGATTTCTCACTTTCTGTCTCTCTCTCTCTCTGGTGAGCACACGCACCCTATAGCATGAGCGCCCCGCCCCTTTAACAAAAACCCCTCAAAAAAAAAAAAAAAAAGACCCTATTGATGCTGTCTTTCTCTTCCTTATGAAATTAATAATCTTAAAAAAATCAATATAGGAAAAAGTATTCACAGAGGTGGCCTTATGGGCCAGGGGAAATGAGAGACAGACCCGAACACACTGAAGGTGGGCTGTGCATTCCGTGCAGGACTCACTGGTGAGCACATGCACCCAGCCCATCTGCAAAGAGCACCAGCAGTTCAAGGCTGCCTGTCTTGGGCCCAACAATACCTCCCTTGCCAATTGCTAGCATGAAGTACTGG